GGGTCACAAGTTTTTGCCATGGATATTTTGTGGGTCAGAAGATAAAAAGTTTGGGAACCACTGCTTTAGAGGCTCCTAAAAAAGACTTCTGTCTGAACAGGGCCTGAAAGATCTGGATTTATGTATTTGTCATGTATAATACATGTATGTACAATGAAAAAAAAAACCCACCATGCATGTCCATCATCCCCGGAGAGGAGCTGTTCTCTGGAGTTGTCACCTCTGAACCATATTTATCATCTTTGCCTTTCTTCTTAATCTTGTTCTTCTACAACACAGAAAAAAAACATTGAACAGAAACAGCTCCAACATTAAAAAATAAAAAAATTCTGAAACTTTGTCATGATCTTCTGATGCTCCTCATAAATTTGTGGCTTTGGTCTACTAATAAGACTAAGACTGCTGGTTAACTCACGTCATCTGATTTGGGTTCCGTCACGGGGACCCACTTGTAGATACGAAGAGATGTGTCACCAACCGTCACCCATTTCTTCTCCCTTAGTGGGAGAGAGAGAAAAAAAAAAAAACAAGCTGACTCCATCATTTGAGCTCAAACACAAATGGCACCCAAACTGGTGAAAAAACTGTCACCTGACAGTCCACAGAATTGCACTGTAAATAATTAGAATTAGGTTTAACTTTATGGAAAACAAAATGCGAGCCCAGAAACTGTCTTCAGTAGTTCTGGGCCTTAGCAGAATAAAACATGAATAGATTTCCATGAAAAGGATTAGCTTAGACATTTAAACTATTTAAAACACTTTAGACATTTTTACTATTACTTGAACATAGTTTTTAAAGGGGCAGTATTATGTGTTTCTCAGGCATTCATTTAAATACTATACCATAATATAGTATTTAAATATACAGTATAATATAGTATTTATCTATGTCACCTTTAGTTGTTATTAAAATGCTGTTTTTATGTTTAAATAGAAAATAAACTTATCTTCTCATCACTTCCTCTTCTAAACGCCTTGAAATTGGCCTCTGTCTCTTTAAGACCCACCTTCCGCTTCTGTCCCGTCCAGATCGGTGGGGGTTGCGCGTGTGGCGTGCGCTATGATGCAGTTTACTTGGCATCTGAAAATACATTTCCTCAAAGGTATTTTGAATCTGAAAAGAGCTTTGCTGAGTTAGAAGTAGTGTTGAGAGCAGCAGACAGACCGTTAAGTTTCACTTTCACTTTGCTCTGTGACTGCCGAGAGCCGTGATGAGGAAGTTCGGCTTAAAGACACGTCCCAGGGGCGTTTCTGGTCCCAAAAGGTGTTTCTGGTCCCCACCTGTCGTTTTGCTCCTAAGCATGGCTTCCCAAAAAAGCTGCAGGATTTCTCAAACACGCATGAATGAGTCAGAGCAAGGCTTTGGGCATGTTTTTTATGAGAGTATAACATTATAACATGATATAAAACTCAAAATAACTGATTTCACATGATATTGCCCCTTTAAAACTGTTAGCTGCCGCAAGTCAAAAGACAGGCAATAATGGTTTTGCCTGCATCAGTCGGTAAAATCTTTTATGCATCACTAAACAGCCTTTATTATTAAAACTCAGAAAGTAATCATTGCAAGTATATCTTAAAAACTGATAGCCTTTTGTAGACAATCCATTTCAAGATAGTCACCACAGCCAAATGACCTTAAGACCCTGTCACACGATAACATTTTAGACAACTTATGGAACAACCCTTAAAATTATAGACTGTTCATGTCTTTGTAAGTGGGAAAACTTACGAAATCAGCAAAGGAATTAATTACTTAATTCCCCCACTGTAGTTGTTTCTTCATCAACACAGGTTTCAGACGAAGAATCAGTAACGACACTTCGAAAACCTTTGATTAAAATTGTATTAAAGCCAAATAATGAAAAAGCAAAAATATATTTAAGTTCTACAGGGTTACATTCTCGCCTAAAAGTTAGTTTTATGTCAAGGAAAAAGAGAAATTTGAAAATGTTCTTACAGCTATTTCTTGATTTTCATTCAGACAGCTTTCACCCACAATGCATCATGGGATTGGGTAGGAGAAGGAGGATAATCTAAGCAGTTTTTATGTACAGACACCCCTTTTTCAGATAAACTGGGGGTCCGGGGGAGTGGGGGCACTGATTGGTGGTCCTGATGAATAGGCCTTTGTCAGAGCTAAACAAAAAAAAACTGAAGCTCCTATGCTGAACAGTTTCTGAGTTATAAGCATTTTTGTATGTCCAGACACCCCCTCATTGGATGGAGCCCCCTCCTCAAATGCAGGGTCTATCGTAAAACTGGCTGGCGCAGTGTAGGTCAGACTCACCTACAGTGCTGCCATATTTCATGTTGATTGGTGCAGCCATTTTTGTGCTACGGTTGACCAAAGATCACTGAATGAATGAATGAATGAATGAATGAATGAATGAATGAATGAATGAATGAATGAATGAATGAAAACAATATGACCCCCGCTTCGTGTGCGGGGGTCATAATAAACTGTTGAATTTACTGAACCAAATTGGTTCCACTAAGCCAGGTTGAGTAAATAGGGCAATATACAGTATATATATTCTTTGCTCAATTTATTCGACTATACTTAGTGGAACCAGTTGACATGACTTTGTTGAGTAAATTCAACATTTCATTTTTTAGAGTGCATAAACATCTTCTTTCATGATGAGTTCAAACATATTTAATTTTGTAACAAGTAACTAGGTGTTACATTTCAAAGTAAAGAAGTAAATGTATCATTTTAGCTTTAAAATGTAGTGAAATAAAAGGTAAATGTATGGTAAAAAAAGACCAGTTTTGTCGAAACCCTTGTTACATTAATCTAATAGACATATTTATAAATGCTGTCAAAATGTATTGTTCTGTTTGGAAAGCTGATGGAAACATGCAGCACGCAATATATGAATACATACGATACACATGGATTTTATTTTGAAATCAACAGTTTAACAAACAACATTGATGCAGTTTCAACTGTGTTTACTCTGTCTACCACAGAATGAATTAGTTTGCCCTGACTTTAACATTTACTACTGGATATATTGCGCAATCTCACATTTCTTGCACATGCTTCTGTAGGCTCCTCACATTTGGCCGAACTGGACCGGACTGGCCTGTAAATATGGGGTACGAAACACAGCATGTGAAAGAAGCAGAAGGAAAAGTGATTTTTATCAGAAATATTAGAAATCAGTTTTCAACAATGTCGAGGGGACATGCACAGGATGACATTTCCTGCTTTTTCTCTAAAGCGAAGGTAGGTTAATATTATTTTTACTATTTATAGCTGTATTTTTAAACCTTTTAACAAGAATGTAAAATCTTTAGCATTTGTAAAGTCAAACTTTGGGTTGGGCATAATCGTATCGTGTGCAATTAATCGTCAGAAAAACATTGATCGATTATTTTTTGGCACTTGACGATTAATACAATTAATGCCACCAGACAGAGTCCACTTGGTGCTAGTCTCCGCTTCAAATATAACAAACGTTAAAATAAAAGTTCAGTAGTTTATTTAG